AAACGATGTGATATTAAACATCGTTTTAACAGCAGAACAGCGTTTCCTCAACTAACTGGGTTGATCACTGACGCTTCATCGAAAGTGTTAATCTGATATCGATTGTATGTATTTGTCTTATCACGAAATCGCGTACAAACATGACGAAATGGAAATAAAATATCGTATGCATTGAGTTTGTCAAGGGTACGGTAAAGGAGTTCTACAGGCATCGTCAAAATAGATGGAACAGATGCAACAGACATCTTCGAATGTCTTACAGAATGTGCGAAATTGATACTACTTGGTAGAGGATTCAAGAGAATATTTTCATCATATACCTAAACAGTAAAAACATACTGAATTCAGTGGCACAATCTACGGAAGGTCTATTATTCTGAGGTTTGCATATGACACTTAAATGTATGTTTTCGAATCAGAAGAAAGAGAGCAAGAACAAAGTGTGTCATTTTTTTTCAAGTTGATTTGTTGCATACGTGCACTTTTTCGTCAAAAAAAGCACGTCATTCAGCGTGTAAAGATTGATAAAACAAGTTGCCATTGTTTTATTTGTGATGGTGTAAGATTGAAACATGAATCATTTCGAAAACGATAGCAAATCATCTAAAAAATGTCTTCAGGAAAAGACTATGAATAACTAAAACAAAAAAATACCAAGCGTCTCTTTTTTATTATGTGCAAGTATAAGTCGCAGTATTTATTGATAGAAAAAATAGCAAAAATACTTTCTTCCTAAACATTCAGTCAAGGATGAATCTAGGGTATATCAGCATCCGACAGAGTTGAATCGCCCAAAACTGCTAGTGAATGCTAAAGAACTGTCGAGAAGTTTTTTAAAATTCATCAGCAACGTTCATTGAATGTTGAGTCACTTATCCCTGAATTGATAGAAAATATTTTCTTTGTGATGTTGAAATAGCTGCCACAGTACTTACCAATACTAAAAGACCATATTACCAAAGTGAGTCTAAGTCGTTTTGGAATTTTCGATTCAAAATATTCATTTGAAATGGAAAATTCCAGCGAATATCCCGAAAGAACAATTCGAAAAATTCCTACGTTTGCTTTTCATCTTTGTCTTCAGTATACATACGTGGTCTAATCTTGAATATCGACGAAAATTCTACTACTCAATATCAAGTGAATCTTGCCACGGTGAATAATGAATATAATATTCTTTTTGATAGTTTGATTTTCCTTCGGCTTCTGACTGTAATATTTAGCGCTACTCACATTTTCTGTCTAGACAAACCAACATCTGCTACCAATACGAACAACAAATTTGATAATGAAAAATGAATCCTTATTAAATACCACTTGCCCTCGATATCAATCTTTTGAATCATTTCATAACTGTGCGTTTGATAATCAAGCAAGATGATTTCATCCATGAAAAAGTAACCAGAAATTTATTTTCAGATAATATTTACGAACAGAGTCCTCAATTGTTTTGAAACATGTGAGAGACTAAAAATTCAGCAGCAATTATCCTATCTGACTCATCAGCAGAAATCGATCAAAGACTGCTAAATTCATCGACTTTCAGCTAGAAAAACGGCAGGCAAAGCTTAAAAACTGAGTTTCTCAAAAACTTGGCAAAAAGTCTGATAAGGGTGGATGTGAGTGTAGGTGAACAGAATATTAAAACTGACAACAACGCTCGCAACCCAAATCCATACCCGTGCCTGCCGATAGATTAGGTTGTGTTGCAAGTGTGTATCACGTCTTCTATAAGTTACGCTCTTGATAAGAGTTTTTTATAATTTATGATTTTTAAATTAATTTAAAATGCAATAAATCAGTAACACTGTTTGTGAAAAAGCTTGACAATTTTTTTTATATTATACGTGATGCAAAATAATAATATTGAGACATATATGGTGATCAAAAGAATTCATAAGGCAGGAAAACAAAATATACCAGTCTTTCTCATCATTATTTAATCTGACAATCTTATTATTCTTTCAAATGGCAATGGAAGGTAAATTGTCAACGTACATATGTCAGGAAAAGTGAAGTTTTAAACAAGACCAAACATGGTTATACAAACTTTTCAATAAATGATGCGTCGGTTACAATTTTAGTTTTTCTTGAGTAGCTAACTCTTAGATAATACTGTTGATTTATAGACGAGGAATTTTAGATGTCGATAAAACGTTTGACTACCCAGGTGATTCGATCCGACTGTCGGATTACGTCGGATTATATCGGATTATATCGGAAAAATTACCGGATTTTAACGGATCCGACGGGAACTCGTCGGAAGTTGTCGGCGTCCTAGCCACAGGATTCCGACAGGAGGTTCCGGATGTCGGAATAATCAGGATCCTGCGAAATCCCTGAAACTCCGACACTTTCCGACATCCAGAACCACTTGTCGGAATCCTGTGGTTAGGATTCCGACAAATTCCGGCGAATTTCTATCGGATTCGACAGGGTGAATTCGACCTGGGATATATTAATTTAGTGTGATAATAAGAAGTTCTAAAATTTGTTATTAGATTTCTAACCAAGGATGAGTGGTATGTATGTATGTGGCTTGTTTTCCTTGAATTATGTGAATAGTTAAATGACATTTTTTTTGATAACAGAAACATGGGGATATTGATTGGTTCATGAGAATTCAATAGTTAGTAAATATATTGTTTTTAGTCGTATTGACTAAATATTTTCGTTGTATTCTTTTCAGCTCAGGGACATGAAGACATGAAATGCTTGGTGAAAGATTTGAAAAAAAATTTGTTTTGTAAGTATTAGTTAGACGAAGAAAGGATTATTTTTAAAACTATTTAGTGGCGCTATTACCATTATTTCGTATTACTGGTGTAACTGTATTCATTTAACATAAATATCCGATTTTATTCTCGTATACACTGTGCCAAAAAAATCATATGTATAGAGTTCGTATTGGTCTTCCTTACATATGAATCAAATCATCTATCTCAGTATTTCGTTAATAGTGTTGACGATGTGCAATGGCTCGCCATTAATTGCACTTTGGGACAATCTTGCAAAGCTCATTCCGGCAATAATCATGCAGAAATAAAGGAGTTACTTAAAAAGCAGAAGAAATTTAACATCAACAGCTGGTCACATATTGGGTTAACAGTAGCGCTTGTTTCACTCGAGTTGATTATCATTGTAGGTGGCTGCTATCTATGCATTCGCTATCTTCCGGCAATCATCTGGTCAGATAAAAAACATACGACACGTAAAGCTTCATACCCCCAGAATGATCAAGAACAATTTACACCACCGCTCAACATACAGAGCTACTCAGGTCGTTAAGTGTACTTACAGGAAATACTAACAACAAGTCTTGAATATTCAGGTCGATAATTGAAGCAAGTGTGTGGTAACAATAATTTCAGCAGCAGCGAACAATAAAAGCTCGTATATACACCTAATAGGTGAACATGGGTTCAAGCTACTTTCCTTGCTTATCTTAATATTCTCTCCCTTTTTTTCTTTCTCTTTTTTCCTTTGCTTCTTCTTTCTTTTCTCTTCGTCCTGATATTTTTTTCATGTCTTCCATACTTATTCTTCATCTTACAGGTCTAGTTTCGCACGTCTATTTCCTTTTAATATTGTTTATTTCGTTCTTCCCATTATTACTATGCTAATTAAGCTGTAGAACCACTGTTATAACTCAGCTATTCTAAAAGCAAAAATTATCTCTGATCAGGTTTCGTTCAATGCTTATAATGCAAGCAAGCTTTGGCTTTATCATTGTAAGCGCTTCTGAGCGGCACAATAAACATGCATAATCGAAAAAAAGAAAGGATTGATATGGGGCGGTTATTAACAACAAGAGTATATTTCACCAGATATGTATCATATAATAAGGATATTAGAGTATAATAAATGATTGTAAGCACTAATGGCATTAACAGCTAAATTTGTTGGCTAAGTATTATAATCAATTGTACATGGCACATAATTATTCTTGTTCAATTTTGAATCGGATCTTTTGATAACACAGTAAAAGAAAAAATCTAGAGAAAAAATCAAAAAGGGTGTGAGTCTGGGTGCAGCTATTATGTTCAAACCACACCCACCCATATCCACATCCACACTCACTCACACACACACAACCCTTATTAACTTATTGTATATATAGGGAGGAAGCCCACAGCACGCTACATCTTTTAGTATATTTACATTGAACGTCAAATGTAGTTTAAAGTATAAAATGTGTATTAGAAGAATTTTTCTCATATCTGAAATTATTGTGACACAGTATCAGGAATATTTTTATGAAGATATTGTCTTGTTGCATCAATTGATGGCTTTCATTTTGATACGATGGTGCTGTTTCTTAGTTTAAAGATCAACTTCTGAAAACGATTATTTTTGACCTGAACGTCTAGATTTCACTTGAAATATTCATTTTTGTCACCAATCGAGAATTTATCCAACCATCTTCTATAATATGGTCCAATTAAACGTAGAGAATATATTGATCTAGGCTATGCTTTGGAATTTCTATTGTTTCCTGAAAATTTTACAGAAGGTATACCTTTGAATTAACTCTTGTGTAAATTTAACTCTTAATGTGTGCTTTTACTTCTGTCAACAAAAAGAAAAAAACATTAAAAATTATAAAATTTACGCGTACTTTGTTATCACTATGAATTTTGAAAGCATGCATCCTTACAAATTATTTATCATGTTTATTAATGTATTTATTCAACTTAGTTAGATTTAACTGAAAGTGAAAACCTAAAATGAGAAAGCATGAAGAAAAACATCATTAGATTTATAGAAAACAAAAACACATAAGAACTTGTCATCACAAGCAAACAACATAGCTGTTGTACTGTTATAATGATGTGTTATAAATAGGATTCATTTGCATTATTTTCATATTTAAACTAATGACATCGATTAGAATGTTTATCGATGCTTTAATTGATGCAGGTGCATTTTGGTAGATTCCATCAAGTAGAACAGTAAAATAACATTGAGTTTACTATTGAAAGTTGATCAATCATTCACAAATGATAACTGCTAATCGAACTAACGTTGTACAATCACACTTTTTTGTCATAGCAGCTTCTTCTCCACCTCTTCCAAGAGAGGATACCGAAGATAATTATTATAATCGGTAAGTAGTTTTTGCATCTTCTTTAATACTGAACAGCGACGATTATTCATAGAAGAAGAGGTGCAGCATGGTTACCATCAGCAAATTGTACTTGTCTTTTATCAGTTCTAGCTGGGCTAGCTTTAATAGCATTACTGACTATGTCAATTGTTATTCCAATAATAGTTACATTTTCAACTATGACGAATGAAATATCATCAACGGCAAGTACTACTACTATCGTGACCACATCAAGTGAGTTCATACTGTTGAATATATTTGATCTACAGTTATCTATTAAAAAATTTCGCGATTGGACGATTTATTTTGCTCCCGCTAAATGAAATTGCATTGGAGACTTAGGGCACTAATTGAAAATCCTTTTGTACAGAACAATCATAATTCAATCATAAACTACATGTTGTATACGTATATCCTCATTGAGTTTTACTATGCTTCATTTTCAGAAAGTTGCTTTGAATTGTGTCTAATTAGCTGAAGTAATTCCAACTTATTGAAGTTATTTTTTAAGCATTTCATAGATACTCTAATATTAGACAAATAATATTTTTGATCACTGTAGCTGAAAATAACAAATATTGATTGTATATGTTATTAATAAAATCTTAACTTCTTTTTGGATGATCTGGACTAAAACATGTTGACTTTGTTTTTTTTGTATCAAATGTCGAAAGAAATCAATATTGTTTACTTAGATATTAATGTGAACTTCTAAATTTCTAGATATAACGACAGCAACTTCAACGACTTCGACGGTCACCACTTCAACAACAGCAACTTCAACAACTTCGACAGTCACCACTTCAACGACAGCAACTTCAACAACATCCACGGTCACAACATCAACTTCAACAACATCAACGACAGCAACTTCAACAACATCAACGACAGCAACTTCAACAACATCAACTTCGACAGTGACAACTTCTACGACAACAACTACAACAACAGGTAAACATGTTAGAAAAGATAAAGTTTGAAGTTACTACGATTATCATTAGACATTCCTTGTACAAAAGTATGCACCTCACGAGAAACATGTGAAGCCGGTGTATGTGTAGGTATTGGATATCTTTCATGCACTTTGACATGGTCACGGGCTGGAGACGGAGATCTTGTGCTCAGAACACCAAATAATCATGTTATTTACTGGAACAATGCAGGTCCATCATTCAGTACGGATCAAGGATATCTTGACGTAGATGATAAAAACGGAACAGGACCAGAAAATATCTTTTGGTCAAACACTAGTTCTATTCCACCAACAGGTACCTATTATGTCTGTTTCGAACCGTATCTTTTCAATCCAAATGCATCTTTATCAATTCCAATCACAGCTACAGTTAAAGTTAAGCGCTCAACTGGCACCACATTAAGCTTTACACGAACTTTTACGTCTCCTGGAAGAGATTATTATTCATGTTTTTCTAGTTCGATAACTCTCTTGGGCTCATTCACTTATCCGTAGCAGTTTTTCAATCCATATATGCCATATACAATAACAAAATAAGAACTTGATTTTATTGTGTCATTTTGAACAGTTTTCATTTTAATCATCTTTTTTGTTTGAAAAAAAAACTTATAAATTACCCTAAAATTCTCCTCTTTTTTGTTTGAAAACAACTTACTAATAAAGTACCTCGAAAAATAAATCAGTTTATCGATAGATGAATTTCCTTAATATACGAAAAAGCAACCGGTCGTAGGTGTAAGTGTGAATGTCTCGTTCACCAGCCTTTGCACCACCACAACACTTTCCTTTTTTCTTAAAATATTTTTTGATTTTTTTTTCCTAGAAACATTAATATCACCGAAACTTTGTTCTGACTCGTTGATATTAACTGAACTTCTCTTTGCTTATCGATAAGTACAATATAGTATTCTTATTTATTATACTCGCTTTTGTTTCGTTACCAAATATTATTATTGTTGTTTTTTGACTGATAAAATTATCGATAACTAATAAACAGCAGTGTTCAGACTTCCGAAAAAGGAAATTTCGGAAGTTTTGGAAATTTCAAACACTTGTGTTCTAAATTGTGTAATACTTCTCAAAATTATATAATTTCCGAAATTTCTGAAATTTCCAAAATTCTATACATAGCGAAATTTCCGAAATTACAGAAAATTCTAAAATTTCTAAACTTTCCAATATTTCCAAAATATTTTCATTTGCTTTACTATGTAGTTATCGAGTTGATGGAAACTTCGGAAATTTCTGTAATTTCCTTTTTCGGAAATCTGAGCATACCTCCTAATAAAGTGATCATTGAAGACAAATATTCATTCAACAAGTACATTTATTCATAAATGAGTAAGTTTCTTGTGATATCATTGAACAATTTGTCAATTGTTAAAGTAGAGACAACTACACAATGAACTGCTTATTGAAAAATTCATTTTCAAATAGTTGAATAGATAGACAAGTTCAATCAGAATATTGAAGTAAAGCAAGATTTTCAATCGATAATGTCAGACCTTACATGGCATTATCTTTGTATATATTAAAGACGAAACGATTTCGTTTGATTTATTTCTTATTCAAAACTGATCAATATATAGTTAAATGCAAATTAATAAAGAAGAGCTAGTTGAAATGGATAGCTTCTTAAAGAAAAAGCAAAATACTGATTTTGAAAGTTACCATAAAATTTCACTAATAAATATAATGAAACAGTGCGTATTGTGTACTACAAATGTTTGATTGTTTTTTAATTATACTAATGCAGATTAAGAATATCGGTTTCTATTCACGACAACGGAAAAGGACATTTTTATTGATAATTAGCACAAAACAAAAATTCATTGAAAAAACTATCATAGTGATAAAAAAAAAGAAAGCTCTATCGAAATTTTTTGTTGCATTGATATGTTTTACAGATGCAGAGTTTTTACGTTAAATTTAGTGAGCATATTTAAATTAGTTGTCTCATTCTATCCAAAACTGAATCCAGACATTGTCTATATTTTGTACACTTTGTACCACACATTAATGTAGTTATAAAAATATTCGTAATAACATGAAAAAAAGATGATTCTGCTGTTTCATTCAATTGGAGATTAGGGTATGGGTATGAATGTGGGTTGGGCTGAGAGTACAAGATGTCGGTGAAGGTAAGTGTATTGGTAAATGTGTAGTTATGACTGTAATGAAGAGCTACACACAAACACACGCATGATAAGAAAATGGTCGAAAAAAGAATATAATATATATAAATATCAATAAAAAAAAAGATCATAGATTTGTCCATTATGGTTTATGTAATTTGCGAGCAATATGTTCGTCGTTTGTTTGTCAATTTAGTACTAAAAGAAAAATATAAAGGATGAACATGTTAGAGTATTTATCAGACTCACCCAATACCTGATTGAATATTTGTTTTCTTCGATAGACTGAATAGTATCTGCTACATCATTTTCTATTTTTTATGCTTAATAAAAATCTTATTTGGACGATTGCAGTGAATGTTTAACAATCCTGTTTCTAGAAAAACGAAAAATAATATTATTGAAATAAAGAAACTTTCCTACCCTTTCATTCACCAATGTGTCATGATGATAACCTGTTCATTACCAATAAGTTAATTTTCATGAAGTATAAGTAAACTTTCGAGAAATTTTTCATTTATTCATTTATCTGAAAATAAGTGTAAATGGATTTGATACATTACTATAAATTAATTTTTTAAAATAATGATTTTAGAGGATCAAATCAATAAAAGGAATGAGAAAATAAATCTAACTAGAAGGTAAGATTCGACTGTATCAATTTTATGTAAAGCTTATAAAAGAAAAATAATTGAAGCAAGTAATTATGAAAAAAAAAGATAACAAAATGATTGACGACGAAGTTCTATAATAGGTTATGGAAAAATTCGATTAAAATCATTTATTTCTAATAACAAATAATTTGTTACATTGATTGTTTCAGCCTAATAACACAAAAGAATTTTTTTTTTTCGATATCTACTAGATGAAACACACTTCTTGTTTAAGATTAGAAACTAATATCGATTCAAAAATTTTTAAATGATCAGATTTTTCCAAACAAAAACCAAGTTTACTACTGGAGAATCTAAGTAAACAAAAAAAATTATAAATTAAAAAATAGGAAAATTAATAAGATAATATACAATCCAAATGAATTTTATTTTTGATTTTAATGTTAATAGATCTGTTAAATAATGATCATTATCCATGTCTAAATATATAGAGAATACAGCTTGTCGTTTTGAAAGATCTAAAAACAAATGAAGGTTAGTTTCTTTAAATAGAATGTTAAGATCTCGCGTTGAATGATGAATCTTCTATAGTTGATTTTGATAAGCAAAAATTGAAAGAATTTCATCTTCAAGACGGATAATAAGCAGTTGAATATTCAATCAACTCATTGAACTTATTAATATTTCTAATAGATCAATAGTTACATAAATCTTTACCTAAATTAACTAATTCGATTTTATCATTATTTTCTATATTAATTGACTATTCACACATATTTCAATCCCATGATTTATATAATATACATAATAAGTTTTATGTTTGTGATGAAACAGGTACAATAGCTAATAATGATAAATCACCGATTGAGTATTCATCGGTTTTATTATCGATTATTATTGAATGATGATATAATACATCATAAAATGAATCCAGAAATTGTTCATTATTTCGACATCGTTTGACACAGATTCAGAATCTTAAATAAAAGAAAAAAAAATTTGTAACTTATGATAAAGCATTTTTAAAAAATAATAGCAAATAATTTAATCTTCTCTGATGATGTTAATTTTAGTTTATTAATATATTCAGATACACTAATATGAAAGTATTCACCATGATATTAAATAAAATTATACATATATCAATATTTACCTAATGAACACGAATAGTTTTTCTTCTGAAACATGAAAAATTCAAAATAATTAAGAAAAAACTCAACACGAAACAAAACTTAGACATTCACATACGCACATTTGAATAAGTCCTCATTTCTAAATCCTATTCTTTCAAGTTGAAGATAAAATTCCAAACGATTAACTTTAAAATGTTTGAAAAGAATCGAAAATATCACAAAGCTAAAATTTGATATCAATTCAAAAACTCTCAGAACAAATTCGCTCGCTGTACGACGTGACAGTTTTCATATTTCATTTTTGTACAGTTTTAATAATATCACTCAATATAAGAAAAATATTTGTTTAACATAGACGGGAATAATAAAATATATATATATATATCTGTACAATCTTCGATTCAATAAACTATTTAATGGTATTCAAAAAACAAATGCCGTTGTTTTTATCACTTTCGTTTTAATATTATAATTCATTCATTATCTAGTACTGAATTCGTGTATCTTGAAATGGAAAATGCATCGAATAAATGTTTGAAGACGAAACCATCAAGAGAACCATGTGAATGTGACTATATCTATAACGACATAGTCTTACCTTTTTTTCTTTCGTTCTCTCTTATATAGTGTCTTTCTCTTTCTTACGAAGCGTAACTCACAAACTGTGTTTGAATCAGAAAAAAAGTTAATAAAAATTAGGTGAATACATTTATTAGTTAATTATCACAACAACTGCTCTTCTTTTGTCAAAATCACGTGTAAAGACATAAGTTGAGCGTATACATTGTAGGAAAAAAAATTTATATACGTTTTCAAGGTTAACTACAATTCAATACAGTAGATATTCGAAAATCCATTTGTAAACATATATCAAACAGCTTCCTACCCCAGATCATCTTATTCAACCAATAATGGATCAGCAAGCTTCGGTTTAACTTCGTATAATCCAAGAGGCAATATCTTGTGACTAAATGTTATATTGATCATGGCAGCACCTGAGCCATACCACACAATGAATGCTGTCCCGATTCCGCACCAACCACCAATATTTGTCACTACTTTTTTTTGAGTAAAAGCTCCAGCAATGAGAAGTATGAATGTCACAATACGAATAGTAAAAAGAATGAATAGCTGTCGTGAAACACGAAAAGAGGCAGTACACACATATATATATATAGCGAAAAAGAGCCATGCAAAGAGAAAAAGTCCTGTTGCTTGGTGTGCTTTGCCAGTGCTTGCTAGTTGAGGAACAATAAAGTACACATAGGCAGCAAAAGACATTCAGAAACAACCATAACTGGTGAATACTGTCGCACCAAATGTGTTGTTGATGCGATATTTCCACATACCAGCTGCAAATTGACCAATACCATCATAAAATAAAGCAGCGGGTAATATTACAGCTTCAACACGGCTGTCGATCAAGTTCGAATCAGCATTAACAACTGAAAGCATGAAAGTAGTCAAATCAAAGGAACCAAGATCAAGTGGACAAGGATTGCCAAGAGCACTGACAGGTGCAGGTCGGCTTTGAACAACAGGGGTACTTCTTGGTGGATAGGCTTTCTTTTTTTGCATTGTTGTATTCTATTTGCAAAGATTAAAGTTTGAATGAAAGTTTCCAACAGAAAAATGTGTTTTTCTGAGTCTATCTCGTTCAGTATTTAATAGAAGAACTAATGATCAAATTGTGTGAATTGACTTAATCGAAGTTGCCATTGCTTTCAACGTTTCGATGTTTTATAAATATGGAAGAGATATACAGAGGAGACGTATTTATGTATTAGAGACCATACCCGTAAACGCACTTTTCATACAAACAAGTAAAAAAGTGCGTCGATATCAATCAACCCCTGTGCAATTTGCTAAGGACATTTTTTTACTGTCTATATTTGCGATCATGAGATTTGTAAGTGCAATTTTTTCCTCAAGGTTTGAGATATTGAAACTTTAAGTACTCAATCAATGAGCTGTTACGTGGACAAAGTCCAGAATACGAAAACTATGTGAAGTATTTTGTAAATTTTGATTAAACAACTTGCAAAGATGGAGTTTTACTGACAACTATAAACTGCAGTGAACCTTCAGAACATTCATTTTCTGTTCCAAGGACAGTTGCTATGAGGAACGAGCACGAAAATGACAGAGAGGTGTGTAGATTTATATTCCCAAGGTTCTTGAAAGCATTATATTTATATTCAGTAAAATGGAATAAGACATTTCGCAATCACGTTCTGTCTCTACAATAAATTTTGAGTGTATGTAAATCAATCGAAAAACAGTCTAGTTTATGTCTTGAAAAAGCAGATAAGTTCCCTTTGCTAGATTCAACTTTTACTTTTCGGCAATCAACCTGTCGCAATAAAATGATGAATTACTGAACATTGTACAGATAGAAAATAAAGAAATGGAGAGTTAAATTGCTAGCAACTTTTATGTTATTTATTAAAATATGAACAATCATTAAGACACTATATTACAATTGAAAATATCAAATATAAAGAAACAAAATATGGTTTCAAGTTAAAATAATAATAAAGAAAAACACGTTTCGAAATTAGAAATGCAACTTTACCTTTACTTTATTAGTAACTACGCAACTACTTTAGTTACTATTTCAAGTCACTACGTGACTACTGTAATTACTTTATTGTATTTATCTAAATAAAAAGTAAAATATAAATCTGCCAACCCTATTCACAACAAAATAAAAGAAAATTTTTAAAAAAAGATGGAAAAAAAAGCAAGGCACAAGGAGAAGAGAAAAAAATCCATTTCAAACAAAGATATTAGCAATTTTTCGATATTAATAATATTGAATAGTTGAATCAGTTATGATGGTGGAAGCAAGGCAAATAACAGTCCAACATAGGACGAGTAACTCGACGCAAACGTCGTTAAATCCTCTTCTGAAAGGATAATAATATGATAGAAATAAAATGAAATGATCGCCCACAAAGCTTTCTCTTGCATTGACCTATGCTTATTGAATATTTATTTTTAATATCACAATGCCAACATATTTATAAAGTCAATTCTATTACAATATTAATGACAGTACCAATATTTTCTTGTGTTGTTAGCCTTCCAAGTTCTATGTATATCTTCGTCTATTCTGATATTATTTGAGAGATTTTGTCTATTTCATGTCCTCTTTCCTCCAATAGAAAAACACTTTCTCATTTATGTATCATTTATTATTGATTTTATGTAATTGTCTTCGCGAACAAATAGTCTTATCCCTAAGATAAACAGCTAACTTTAAGATTTCACGATCTACTATGAATTGATTTTCTTTCCTTATTAGGTTCATTCTTCTTCTCATATCACGCCTATAGCATATAAGTATATGTTTACATTTTTGACAGAAATGACTCATTGGAAATAGTCAATAATGTTTTTTTAATGAGGAAACAACAATATGCACGAAAGCCTGATAAAATAGTGAGTTATTGAACTATGGATGATTCTTGTATAGCAGTGTCAATTA